TTTATACATGAAAGAAAACCGGAAGGGTTGTCATGGAGAAATCAAGAAAGTACCGTCGCGGCATCTGGTTTGATTTCGGGAACTAATGCTTTTTTTAAATACTTCCTCATTAACATAAAGGTTCATTACTTAATATCAGTTTAGTGTTTTTCACAGATTAGCGTCTTTTTACACAGTTTACTTCAAACGGCAAAAATAGTGACAGCCCTGTGCGGTCGACGTCAAATTCAACGCTGATTTAAGCTAAGGCACAATCGCAATCACTATGCTAGAATAAAAAAATCTTAAAATCCACTGCCCTATCTCAGAGTGCCAGAGACGAAGTGGATTGATCCCTGACACTCTGAGATTTTCAATTTTTAATCATTTTAGATGTCAAATTAAAAGGAATTGCTATAGATTTTAAAAATTAGACAATTAGCTACCTATTACTAATGTTAGTCCTCCTTTTATTAAAGACGAATTTGACGGATCAAACAGAATTTTATATAGAAATCCGTCCAAGTGTGAATTATATTCGCACATCGCGTCTTGATTTTGTTTCCGTAGAGGAATTGAATTTTAACGCATCTATAAATTCATTCAAAAGTAATTCCAATCATTTGGCACTATTTAAGTATATTATTAGTCTGTAACGGTGTGTCATACCACCGTTTATTTTTCCTAGGTTTCAAAATGCAAACTTTTTGTCTTTGATATTCAACATCATTTCTTTTTATTATTCGCCTTTCGTAATTTAAAATTTTGACTAATCAAATATACTCTTTATGGATGCCAGTTCGTAAAAAAATCATCTGTTGTAACATGTAAATCACATATATTATAATTTTAACCAAAAATTTTAATTAATGATTGTTAATAATAATCAATGAGTAATAATAACAATAGGAATTATATAGTATAATAAAAGTGTATTTAGTAACTTGGACGATTCAAGTTATTATAAAGAAACCCAAAAAGGGGTATGTTTTCTTTTATATTTGGTAATTTTATATATTTTTTTGTGTGTTACAGTTTCTTTACTTTATCCTTTATATCATAAATAATTCCATTCTGAAGCTAGTCAGCCTTTCATTAATTGGCCCAAGCACCGACCCCGTCACAAGTCTATATTAAAAATCTGTTGCTATCCCTTTCTTTAAAGGTAAAGCTATTGTTATAGCGATTTGTGGAACTGCTTAAGTTTTAAAATTGAAATTTTAAAACAAATGGTTATTTGAATGTTCAAGAAATATATAAGCACTTAGGGTATGTTCTGATATACACTGCGAGCACTGCGCAGTGGTCTTACTGCTGAAAAATCCGTTCCGTTATGGACTGCCAGTACATTGCTACAGTACCCTAGGGAAATTTATGACTTCATAAATTGCCGCCATATTTGTACTGTGAGCACTGGAGATTTCGAGGTAAGGTGCTCGCAGTGCTTTTGATCACGTGATCAGTCGAAACAGAATCAGAAAATGATAAGTTTCTAAATAAACAAAAAAAAATACTTACGTTTATTATAAGATGGATTTAATTGATAAATATTTTTTTTATACACAATTTTATAATATTTTCTTTTGAAAAGAGGGAATTTTTATTTATATTCACCTTGCATTAACAAATTTGAAAATGGCGCCAAAAATAGGATTAACAGTATACTGGACTGCGTTCCGTTTTAAAAAGTCACCAGTATAACTAGCTATAAAGGAACGGGCTTCCAGTATACTAAATTGACGTCATACTGTTCAGTGGTCGCAGTGTATATCGGAACATACCCTTAGGTTTACCCGTCGAAAGATTTCAATTAGCATTCAACTCTTTCGTTTGACATTTTTCAAGGGCTTTCCAAGATACCTATTCCTGTCTAAAAATTAGCGACAATTATAATCGCTACCACATAATTGTAGCGTAAAGTTCGTGAATATCTTTCAAATGTCTAATTAAAAGGGATTGCGATGAATATTAAAATAAGACAATTATGCCTTAGCTTAAATCAGCGTCGAATTTGACGTCGACCGCACAGGGCTGTCACTATTTTTGCCGTTTGAAGTAAACTGTGTAAAAAGACACTAATCTGTGAAAAACACTAAACTGATATTAAGTGATGAACCTTTATTCACTTCTGTCACAAGAATTTTCTAGAAATAAAACGATTTACGCCACAGATAGTTTCTAGGTCTAAACCTACGTTTCGAATGTTGTATGTATGGGCCCCAATAAATACGTGGTGGTCTACTTGTCCCGGCATCATTCTATATTATTTAGCAATCATATTTATTTACTCTTCACAATAGTTTTTCTTAGAACAATATAGTAATTACAGTTTTTATGTGTATATCCGTACTGTTAAGAGCTGGTTTCTGAAATAGGTCTTTTTTACAAAACCCGTTACACAGGTCACCAGCGCTCCTTCTTAGACCACTATCAGTGACCAGTGAACTAAAAACTAGTGAAGTGAACTATCGTGAAGATGTGAAGCGAGAGTAATGATATAATTAGGGATGATGACTGGGTAAAAAAAATGCAATTCTATTTAGTCCGTCAATCAGATAATAGAAAAATATTAGATACGTATTTTTTTTTTACTTCAATTTAACAAGAAATAACTTAGATAACAGGCATTAAAGTTGAGGAGTGGTGGCTCGCTACGTCACAGTTGAGTAGAAAACGTACTCTAACGTGACGTCATGCGAAATTTCAACTCAATGTAACGCCGTAATTTTATGATTGCGAAAGAAATAAAAAAATACGTGTTTTATATATTTTTTAACACTCTACCTGACGGACAAACAAACAAAAATTAGTCATCATCCCTATTGTGAGATCGACGTATGGATTTTGTTTTTAAATTATTTTTGTAACTTTATCGAGTAAATAAAGTCAGATTGTGAATTTAATTCTCGTTGATTATTATCCCAAACCCTAGCGAGTAACAATACCTATATAATTATTATATAAAGCTTACACGTCACCCTTAACAACGTGGCAGTCACACGATAAGAATTAACGTATAAACAGACACAGCAATTAATTAATCTTCTATAAATATAATTTCTTACTCACTAAGTATATATTTTTACTATCATAAAGATAATAAAATTTCAGTTAAATTTTTTTAGAAAATATAACAGATCTTATCATAATTAAATAGTAGGCATTTATATTTATTTACGATTGTTCTCATTTTTTTAACAATTATATTCAAACAAATATACAATTAAAAGGGTCTTTGTAAACTCACCGTAAAAGTTATCTATAACCTGGTTTCTAAATTAAGAATGTAAAGTTAAGCACGTTTCAAACTGTACTCTAATGTTACTTAAATAGGGTTTCGTTTCTGATTCTCGTTCTTTTTATTATCAGTTGATAGCAGTTTGTAAAAACTAGGACTTTTTGCCGTGTAAAAAGTAAAAAAACTTAAGTTATTGAGAACAATCAATTGAGATTTTGTACTTTTCTCAATTCAGAAACTGGCTATTTGTCATAATATCAAAAAGTACCGCCAGCAAGCAAAGTTTAGCAAACACAAGTGACTTAAAAGCATAATATTCTTACTGACTAGTTTTTAATTTGAATTACTCAATTCGCTAAACTTGTTGAAATTAGTGATAGTCCTTCAGAATTAGTTATTATTTATGGGGTTAATATATAAATATATTAATAATCAAATAAAGAAAAAAAGCTATATACATTATGATTCGTTAATTAAAAATGTGGTTAAAACAATAAATAATAATTTTAAGTGTGATTTTTCCGCTGTCCCATACAAGGTGAGTACAATAGACTACACATTTATTTTAAATCCCATGACGTATACACATATACGTTTTCTATGATGAATATATATAGCTAATTCTATTTTATGTATTTAGGATTACACCAATTTTTTTTTTAAATAACGACCGATAAACAAGTTAACAATTCTTTCATTACAGTATCATTATAAAAACATGCAACTTCAAGAACTTATCTAATAACCCAACTATACAAAAACAAGTAAAGTTATAAAGTCGTTTATAATGTTTTATAATGTTCATTTATAATGTTTGAAAGGATTATTTATAACTTCTGACGATAACTGGTAAGGTAAAACGTACTTGTGAGGACCAACTAATACGAGTATATCATTAAGAACTTATAAATACCTCCTGCTAGTTCTTACTCACAGCTTTGCGTTGTTGAAACTTTTAACATAAATTGAATATCGGCTTTAAGAATAAGAATTTATATCGACTCAGTTCTTTTAGCCTATTATACCCTATAGACCAAAACCATGAAATCACCTCGTTGCTTTAACATTAATAATAATTTTTAACAATAGATTGTTAATTGGTACGAACCAGGCAAAAGTTTAACATCTAAATTAAGCGGAAAAAGTGTGAATGTTTTAAGGAAAATGTAAAAATTTTAAATAATCTTTTTAATAAATTACCACGAAACGAACCCAGCACGGGTTATCCCTACAAGGGTTAGAATAAAACCACGACCAGACATGCATGATTATATCTATCGATAACACCCACACGCGATACTTCAGTTACTCAGGTCATGATGAAAATGATATGTGGGACCCATTACAAAACTTTTTAAAATCCTGCTTCGGTGAACGCACACATACATAGTGTTTGTACAGCACAGATTTCCGAATTACAAGATTGCAAGAAATTTTCGAGTGAAACGGCTAACTAGTTCATCTCTCAGAAAGTTACTAATGGAAATAACTATATCCAAACTACGAAAAAGGGGCAATTGGCCGATCTGTCGACACAATATAACATTTCGCTTTACATATATTTCATAGATTTAACCCTCAGATATCAACAATAATCAGTTACTTGACCCATAAACATTGAATGGGGCGATGAAATTGAAAACAAAAGAGAAAGAACATTATAGGTATTAGTTTCTTACCATCATCATTATAAGACTATTTAATATCTCTTGCGCTGTAAGTACATCATTGGATTCATTTACCCTACTTTATCAAGTTCTTAGAGTAGTGTTATGTCAATAAACAGAATGACAATACAAACATTATATTGTACACGGTAGTAATGATAAAATTTATTCTAATCAGGAATAGTCTTGCGAAAGTGGTAGTGAAGTGATAAATTCATAATAAAAAATGGAAAATGATAAATTAAAGTTATCGGCTTTGGGGATACAATGTCTCGCTACTGTATGCAGTCAGTATGAAGTTGCATTTATCTATACTAATATAATAAAGTTAAAATATTTGGTTGTTTGTTTGGATCGAATAGGCTCTGAAACTACAGGACCGAGTTTAAAAATTATTTCAGCTACCCTACGGGAAGCCATATCATATGCTGGTGACAGGGTGAATTTTGGAAATAATAAAGTTAAGAAAACTAAAGAATATAAAGTTTAATTATATATCTTAGATGACAAGTGATCACATAATTAATTAATTAGCAATATTATTTAAGGTGGGTGGACCATGGAAGGCCACATAATGAATAAACAATTTTTCTTAGTTCATTTACGGGTTAAATGAAAGCAACATATTATTAAGTAACGCTTTGTATTATTGTGTAACTTGAAAATTGATTCTTTTTATTCTAGATGTCATCACTACAAATTAAATACGAGGGTGGTTTGAAAAGTAATCGTATTCCAAATGCCATTATATTGAGACAAGGGGAGAATATGTAGAAAAATAAAACATGTTTTTATTTTTATATCATTTGTTTTCTTGATCGGGCCGATAACTATTTAAACCACCTTCGTATTACTTTTATTAAGCTCTTCCAAACGGCTTTTTAAGAACAGTGCTCTAGTCAACTTAAAACTAGAGTTGTAATTATCAAAATATCCTTTTTTTCTAAAACTACATACAAAATTCTTTCATTTAAAAGGATCATTAAATGCTTAACATATTAGTATTTTCTTTTAAAATCTAAACGAACGTTGAGGGAATCAATGCCATCGTTAAACTAAGAAAATATTAATAAATTATTATTTAAAAAATATGGCTCGCCTGTTGGGGATAATGCGTTTAAGAATAAAATTATAAAAAAATGACACCTATATTGGCCTTCTAATGGGTCCGTTCTTTGCAAGGCCAAATTGTTCCTAAAAAGACCAAACTACCAATTACTATCTATAACAAGTTTTTCTGATCTATACTAATATTATAAAGGGAAATAATTTGATTTTTTGTTTGTTTACATCGAATCATCTGTTCATTATTGTAGATATATATTTAATTAAATAATTTAATAATAATAAAATAATAACTTTTTCATTACGCATTTACAACGAGAAACGAATTGTTTATATTACTATGATTTGCAAATGTTCGTTGTAAAACTACCTTAACAAGGCCAAATAAAAGGACAAGATCAAATTTTTTAATTTGTCTTACAAGAAAACACCGTCCTTCATAGCAAAACTGACGATATTTTAACTAAAATAGAAACATATTCATTATTCCTATTTAGAAACATCCTTTATGATTATTTACAAAACAAAATTATATATATATTGTAATAGGTTATTTACATTAAAAAAAAAACCGTTTGTTGTGTGCAAGAATTATAATTTTAACGTCAATGACGAAAGTCTAAGAAGCGGTGGACCTCCCCATTAAACTAACGTCACAAGCGACTTGTCGCTACGTCTGTGTCCTTAGATTTGATAGAGCTTAGTGAGAGAGGAAGAAATTTGTCATCATAATATGACAATAACTATGTTTTTTAGTTGGCCTTCGAAGGAACATGGCCTTGCATGGTCCACCCACCTTATAATATAACCTTACCTTTTAAAATATTTATTAAATTTTCAGTTTCATATATGGGAAGTCTAACCGGTTTTGTTTGCGCGTGGCCATCTTATACTGTAGCAAATTTCACATCCAACACCACAGTGCTCGATAGACAAATGAATTCCATGGACATATCTCTGCTAGGTGGTCTTCCTAATTTGGGTGGATTACTGGCAACGCCCTTTTGTGGATATGCATTCAACACTCTCGGAAGAAAATATGCCACGATTATGTTCGGTTTGCCTTACATAGTATGTTATATGTAATATTAAATGACAACAATTAGCGGTATCTGCTAATGTTATTTTAAATAAATAAACAATAAACCTTTTTCTATCTGTTACAAATCGACGCATGCTCAGCGTTTATTTAATTATGGATTTATTATACTTATACTATAAAGAAGGAAGATTTGATTGCATGTTTGCATTGAATAAGTTCCGAAGTAGCTAACATGATTTAAAAAAAAACAACTACGGAAAGCTTTGTCATTCGTGGGTGACATAGGCATGTGTTTCCCAAACATTGTTCTACCATGGTTCGGTAATTTTCACACTGCTTCTTCGTGACCCACCTAATATTTTTAAATCCATAGTAGTTGAAGCGTAGAGTAGATTATACTTAAAAGTGGATGACAGAACGATGCTCAGTATTTTTTTTAGTAAATTTAACCTAGCAAGATCCATTTAGTATATTTAAATATAATTAGCTGAAAAAAGACTTTATGACAATCGCAATTTTCATTACCAAAACCAGCGCCATCTATTGACAATAAATAATAACACAGCCTTATTCATAAGAAATATTCTCTTTGCAGATAGCCTGGGTGATCGTCGCATTAACTAAAAGCGTACCTATGATCCTTATTGCTTCAACAATAGCAGGGATCGGCATAGCGGGCCAGAATATTTCTTTAATATTCATAGCAGAAATATCACATGACTCGATCAGAGGAGGTCTGACGGCCTGTTCTGCATCAGGATACTTCTTTGGAATATTGATGTCTTACATACTTGGAGGATATCTGACTTACTACCAAGTTGTTTATGCGCATTTAATACTCACTATAATTTGCGTATTAACTCTATACTTGCTGAAAGAATCACCGGTTTATTTGGTCTTAGTTGGCAAAGAAGAGGTGTGTATCGTTAAGAAAACTTTTGAAAAAGTATATTTCAAAAAAGCAATCAATACGTTGTTCTTTGAATTAAAATTCTTAAAAAAGAATTTAAATCATTAATTTAAAAGCAAAATTGATCAAATATGAAAATTATTACTATTTATATTTTTAAAACTTTATAGTATAGTTAAGTATCCGATTATGTTTTCTAACTGTTTTTCAGGAAGCCGCCAAGTCAATTGCATTTTATAACCGAGTGGATGTGACATCAAAAATTGTTGAAATGAATATAAGAAAAATTAAAATACAACTTGATCCACGATTAGAAAAAATATTAGAGAATGAAAAAGGCAATATAAAACAGAATATACACAACATACTATAAGTCGCTTAAGTCTAATACAAATGCCAATCTACATCTCAATAAAGCAATCATTTCTTCAAGCCGAAATGAAACATCTACAATTTTAATATTTTCAGATGTGGAGTTCACGGAAGAACTGCTCAATGCAAAACTAGGTGAAATAGTTAATAAACGAAAAGAATCATCCTGGAAAATTTTTAGTAAGTATTGGGTTTTATTCGAAGAATTCTATTCAGTTCTTTTGAAAAAAATCTTAGAAATTGATTTCATTAATCCAATCATTAAGAATATTCATTAATCCATTTTTATAATAGGCTGATTGTCATATACAGTATTACGTTATCTGAAGCTCTTGTCAATATTATAAAGCATGCACGTCAAACCAAACTTAAATCTGAAATCGTAAATTCATTTGCAGAAAAATCGAAGTCCTCTAAACGAGCATTAAGCACAGTTCTAATACTCATTGCGGCTACCATTATGATGGGTTCCGTGGTCCTCCAAGTCTACGCGGAGCCACTGTTCAAAGAAGCGGTTCCTACCATGTCATCAAACTTGTGCGCTATATTCTTGGCTGTGGACTTCCTGGTAGCCAGTATCGTGTGTGTGCTAATTATTGATAAGTTTGGTAGAAAGGTAAATATATTTTCATTATAACGTATTTTTTTATATTTTCTATTGGCAGTAGTATATTTTTATTAGATTTATTCTATTCTAAACTACAATGTTTTCGGTAATACAAATCTAAGTAATTGCATAAATATAAGACAAAAAATAGCAGACAACATCATATATACGGCTCAGATCCTAAATTACTCTTAATTAGCTTAAACTTTTGTGTAATGAATATCACAGAATGAGGATACAATAACCACCCAGATATAAGATAGTGTAGAAAAGGTCATTATATGAGATACTTAACTACGGAGGTCAACGTAAACAAACCTTGTCGCAAAAATTATATGATCATTGTCAAAAGCAAACCTTAAATTTGAGCAAGGACCCAAATTAATTTGCCATTAGTAACATATTCAAATTACTGCCAATCTGCTAACTGTTAATGTCACTATTATGTTTTTAATATACTTTATTAGTTTGTTCAAACTGGGATACGTCTTAATTTAAATTATCTATTTCATTATTGTCTCATTTTTACGATGTCTTCACTTAGGGGTCATGCGGGCAAAGTACATATAGGTACACAGTAACAAATGAAAAATTCCGGTTGATTTAGTTTAAAACCTTTTGGATTGTTTCATAAAAACCGATAAGTGTTCCAAAAAAGACAAAGACGAGAATTAGGACCGAGCATTCTTGTTCTGAGTTCTTATCCCTCAAAGAATCTAGGTAATACTACTTATCGAAACTTCAATAATAACAATTCCAACAGCGTCTTCTTGCCGTGACATCGGCTGTGTCTGGAGTCTGCACGTTACTGCTGGGTACACAACTGCAGGTCCACTGGGCCCCACACTGGTTCACCGTACTTCTTATCTACCTGTATAGCTTCATCTACACCGTTGGTTGCGCTGTCATACCGTTTGTTTTATCGGCCGAAGTGTTTTTACCCGAGGTAACATATATAATAAATAACTTTTGTGTCAAGATTACTATTAGATTAGTTAAATCGTTCTTTAATTGCCCTATAGCAGTCTTGATGAAATAATGGCCCCATAACCTTCTTGATGAAACCTTCGGTTATGACACTCATGACTTGTGTGATTTTTATATCATCTATGATATCATATTCACAACATTATTTTAATTTTTTGCTACTTACAAGCTCCAAAGATATGACATTCGTCATTATAAAGCATAAAAGTCAAACTCAATTTTTGAAATTCGTATTCAAACATAACAATTAACAAATTTCAAAAATGTATAACATAAACGGGGAAAATTCCAGAAAATGACGAATTACCGCCAAATCAGGCGTTTTTCTTTATTCAGATATAACAAACATATTTCTTGTTTAATGTCACTGTCGGAATTTTTCTGCTTTTGTGGTTATCCCAAAGCACTGCATATAATTAATATTTCAAGATGTCTAAACAGATTGTTGGTCAATGACACGCAATAATAAATTCTCGTTTATCACCAACATAATATGATTATCATAGACTTTATTTATTGATTGATTGCTTAATCAATCATGCTACTGAATTATCTATGCTATTTAACATAAATATTTTCAAATTAGTAATATTGAATAGAACTTATTACATTGTGATATCAAATTTTTAATGATGAAACTAAAACTTATCAAATGAAGTTTAACCAAAATTCTGTGAGCCATAATTCTAACTATATATAGCAAAAAATCAAGCTGAGAAACATAATAAGGATCTTTGTCTATTTACGAATATCCTGGTATAATTTATTTTTCTTGTTATTCAGGTCCGCGGTTTCTGCAGCAGTATTGTCATGAGTTTCGTGTGGATTGTAAACTTCTTGACATTATTCATCTTCAATCCATTGGTGAACACCATCGGTCTGGGCCCTGTGTTCTACTGCTTCTCTGTCGTTTGCTTCTTGGGAACAGTGTATACATTACTTAAACTGCCTGAGACAAAAGGTTTATCTGCTGATGCAATACAAGGGCTGTTCCTCAAGAGGTAGGCCGCTGTTGTTTGTAAATAAATTGAAGATATTTCAAAATAGGAGTGGGCGATATAAATCGTATATAGATATTAAAACGTATATTGTATCAATATCGTAATATCCGATATCGATGCGAACCGAAACTATATATTTTTTGGATCACTATATTGCTGCATCTATACGATACGTCAGATTCGGTATTTCATTCGATTTCCGATATTTATAGATATGGAATACGTTTAGATTTGTGAGTGAGGGAAATAACAATATTCAAATATTCTTAGGTTTCAAAATCTTAGCATATTAGAGTTGAGATTGTTTCCATACTTTAATGTGTATTTCATTTTGTGAAGAATACGAAGCATACAAAAAGAGCATGCTTGTGAATAAGCATGCTTGTTAATCGAACGCTGGCTTATTTTCCCATGCTAATTTAGCAAGTGTGAACGTGACATGCTGCTTGATTTGATTTACTACTTGTTTGCGATTGTGTTCACGGTGGCTTGAGGTCACCGAATAGAGATCGATTCACACATATATAGTTTAAAAAAATATATAGTTTCAGATCAGTTATTGACTATCGATGTATATTTTCGAATCGATATTGTGAAAATCTTATATTACTCACCGCTATTTCAAAAGGATAAGAAAGTGTAATACGAAAAGTAAAAATTATGACAAGCTTGACTAACTAACAGATAGTGTTAGAAAAATTTAAGTCAAGAAGTGTTGAATATAGTATTTTAAGATTACAAATAACGGCTTATGAATAATTGAACAATTATTTTGTGTAAGCGAAATTTTGGTTGATATAAAATATACGAATAATATACATGAATTTATTAGACAACAACACATAGATTGCTCAGATTCCAATATGAGTATCTATAAGCGTCGTATTATGGCGAACAATCCTCAAATGTTTGTTGATTTTGATTCTAGAAAGAAAGTAAATGAAAAAGCATATAACTTTATTCTTATTTATTTTTGTACATTGCCAGCTATTATTTACATGACGTCAATCGAATGTACAGATATATAAAAAATTAATCATATTTCCTTATAAACTATATTTATTTACTCTTATAAGCAGTTATACTTTTGCTATTATGCACATTATATCGCTTCTAGGTACTACAAATATCTCATAAAAATTAGACTATGCAACATTTTTTTTTTAACAATATTTAAATCAATCTTAAAAATTTCTTTTGATTTAAGAACTTATTTTAAAACTCGTTCTTTATTCATAAATATAAAATTTATTTTAATTATTTGTAACTGTTTCATATATCATATTTAAGTGCCTCATTGCGACAGACAAGATACGAGGCATGAAATTTAAAATTGACTATTAAAGACTTCATCGTTCAGAAATCACACTTCTCAGTTTTAGGTAACTATTTAATAGTTTAATCTTATAGTACAATCATATTAACTAAAAGGCATACATTTTCATCAAGCTGTATTTAAAATCATCTAACCACTAGGAGTATTTTCACTAATATTTATTAAAAACAATAAAAAATACTGCTTTGATCTATTATCTTCAAATATTCATAATCCAACATAAATATCTTAAGAAAGTATTCTTTGTGTACTCAAGTGTTATAAAATTTAAACATTATGTAAATTTAACAGAACCCCTAGACCTCATCCAACAGAAGGTAACCATTAAGCTACTCATCAAAGATCCAAGGAATACTAAAATACTACCCCACATTGCTGCAGAGGGAGACATACAGAAACCAGGAACCTGAGGCAGATCTTCGGCAAAAACAACCCTCAGACCCTTACTGATAGTAGTAGAAGGCTCGATTGTTCTGTTTCCTACGTGGATGATGTCTCGTCTCCGTCTTCTTGGCTCCAAACTTCCAGGGTTCGGGCAAGCATCGCAATCAGTCTTACATAACTCGACATCGCATTGTATAATCAAGTCCATTTCGTCAGGGAACTTGAAGGCATTAAAGTACGCATAAGCGATGATTGAAGCTCCAGTATTTCCTGTCTCTCTCGTTTTCTGGAAAGCTCCAAATAGTTTAGGCTTCAATACGCAACCGTTATTATCAGTCAGTGGAACAACGTGTTTGCTCTCAGAGTCACGAGCTACGCATTCTCTGACGAATATGTCGAAGCCAGCATCGCCTGTTACAGATACAACTAAAGTCATAGTTTCTCCAATCTTAACTAAGCCATTTGCTTCTTGTGCGAAAGGTCCACGTCCTATTTGAATATCTAATCGGGCCATTGCGGTGTCTCCGCTGAAGTTACTAGTGATTTGATTTAACATTCCGACACTGAGAGATGAAACCAATTGCCTTGTTAGATTTCCTTCCCACAAACATCTGACTCTACGAATATGGTCCCAAACTTCTTGAATGCCAGGTTCGTTTTGCAACACAAGAACATTTTCTAAGTAAGCTTGTCCCTCGTTTTCGAAATCGCTGAAGAACCTTGTACCACATTTATTCAGATTTACAGTGAAAGAGAATTTGATTTGGTTGGAGTTCTCACGAACATAAACACATTCAGAATCACTGAAGTGATCTTGAGAGTAGATGAGGCCGTTGTAAGGTTTGTTAAATTCTATATTAATTGTCATCATTTCTTTGCCACAATCTACGGTTATAGCATGTATATGAGGAGGATGTCGATCATCATCATCTTCTGGCACTGATGGAGTAATGGCAGGAGCAGTGGGTACTTTAGTTACTTCGGGCTGTGGTTGGTAAGACGGTGTAATAGAGGGCAGAGATGGCTGACTAGGCTTATAGGGTGGTAGTGTTGGTTGACTCGGTTGGTATGCTGGTTGACTTGGTTGACTGGGTTGGTAATCTGGTTGGCTTGGCTGTGATGGTTGACTCGATACATATGTTGGTTGCGTAGGCTGACTTGGTTGATAAGAAGGCTTGCTTGGCGAGTACGGTGGCTGGCTTGGTTGGTATGATGGCTGTTGAGGTTGGATACTGGATGGCAAATAAGGCTGGTTCGGAGTAGACGATGGTTGATAGGACGGGATGGTTGGTGAGGGACCGAGACCATCACTGTACGATGGTGAAGGTCTTGTCCCAGCTGGAGGATATCCCGTTGGTGGCAAATATGTAGCAGGCTCGAACGGTCTTGGTTTTTCCGGTTTACCTCCAAAGTACTGGCGAGCTGAAAAATTTAAAACAGTATATTAAACATTAAAATTACTATTTGTTACATGCTTACTATAAAAATGTGCAAAGATTTACAGTGGCCGTTCTGTCAGAAACAACATAAATGACGAAAAGAAAATTAATCACGAGTATTTTCAAGCACATCATATACTGTGTACGTTATTCTCTAACAATAGCCTAACAATATAACAATAACCTAAAAAATATCTCGACCCAAATCATAATCCTCAATCTTTAGACTAATATGCAGACTTATAAAAGTAACCCTATGTATAATTTCAGACCTTTCCTATTCCTTTGTTGGTATAATCCCTGTATCCATCGCAGCAGGTTGGCTACCATCTCATCGGACGCATCTGCCTGGGACGATTGGACCTCCTCTGGAAACCAGGTCATCATCAGGAATCTCATTGGCAATCATACCAGCCACCAGAGAATCCAGACCGGTTAATTTTACTACTTTTAACGTCAACCAACAGATTTTCTACATATTTTTACAGTGAACGTTCATTGTTAATGAGGTTTTATGTTTTGCTGCTATTAATTCTGATGACGTCACCGGTTTAAAAGGCTTTGGAGAAAATTAGTCAAGATAAATCGAGCTACCGCAAATAAAAATAAGAATAAGTATACATAATGAAACCTTCTAGCCTCTTCTAAATATATATATTAAAGATGGTAATCAACACCATGATGGATTAGGTTTTCTAAATGTACGTACAGGTCTTAATAATGAGTTTATAACTAACATGCCTTATATACTAATTAAAATAATAAAAAAGAAATCCGATCTTTTGACCACTTTTACTGATAAGATTGCATATAATTGTGCAATGTGTTCATTATACAATGTGCAGAAGTGTGTGTGTTCTTATTGAAAAAATAGTTTTTGCAAGAACATTATATTTAAATCCCTTAACCAATATTTGTACTAAAGGAGTAAATATATAAAAAAATAATTAAACAAATGAAGTTACAGCACTCTTCATGATTCTTCAAATAATATAAATGTAACGACTCTCTGAAATGATTTATTTGTTTAGTAAATTAGATTATTTATAGCATCATATCAACAACTAATTCTGTCTATCAAATATCGTACATATCGTAATAAAATACGCAATTTGAATAAATATTAAATAAATAATTATAAAACAATTAGAATTCACGATGCACAAATGTTTAGGTTAATTATTTGATATCCCAAAAATTTTACTTTCATTTAAAAAAACATTAATAATTCAATAATAAACTTCCAAAGTTAATTCATTAATTCTGCGTTTAAAAAATTAAAAACCTTTAAAAAAGTTTATATTGAAAAGTTTCTAATTTCATACTATTATCAATGGTAATTATAACCTTTTTTGTCAATACTAACTGGCTTTACAGGTACAAACCATGTGATTAGTTTTTAATTTACGCAACAAACGAGTTCGTTTTCACGAATTAAATCAATTTTTACACATCAACATTCCTGCGTTTAAAAAACGAAAGTATTCAATGGAATAGTGTTATGCAAATACCAACGGCATTTTATATAGTAGTCTATATACAGTTATGTAACTACTAAATGTATATACATACCTACGTTTAAATAATAAAATCAAAATACGATGTATTTAATTAAAGAACCGTAGATGGTCATTAAGAATTCATATAAAAATACAATTAGTATTAGTAAAATATATTTCTTAGTGGCGGTACAAATCTGAAAGTTTATATCGGATTCAGTTTTAATTTATAAATTAGTATGTATTTTGTCTAGCGCTATAATATCTGTTACATCTTTAATGTTAAGAACACAACTGTAATTATGCAAATTGAAGAATGATTATTTTATTTAAATCACAGATAAGATGTGTGATTAAAATTATCATAAATAGTCATAATTCGAGATAACTTATTACTGGGTGGTATAATTGCCGCCATTAAGATTATGAATTTGAATGAGCCTTTCTGAAGAAATTGCATCATGAGGCTTTTCCTTATTTTCAGAATTTATAATAACTATTATTTTTTTGAGTGTAATGAAACTAATATCCAATCATTTAACGAAAATAACTATAAAACCAAAATAAATATATATTTTAGAGACCACTTTTCCACGTACTTTTTTCCGATGATTGTCATTTGCGATACAGACATTTTGAATTTTCGCCAGTATTTTTACTCTATACTTTAATTACAATATAATTTATGGATGGCTAAACTGTTTGTTTTTCTTTTTTAATTTCAAAATCAAAAAGGAAGGGGTTCTATGTTTTTTTATATATAATCATTAATCACCGATTTCTCGTGGAATTGAAGATTGATTTTCAAAATACTTTTAGTACTAGAAGAAAAAAAAGGTATGATATAGAGAAGGAAAGGGTATAATATATATAATATAACTTTAGTGCTTGCTAAAACGAGTGATTAGCGTGTTGAGAGTGTATGACTCTAGTTAATATTGTAAAAGTGTTTGCAGCGGGTAGGTCTCCCGTTAAAAAATAACCAATTGACCTACAATAATAGATATTGCGTGATTTGGATGGCATAATTATAATACTATTTACTGTGTACGTACCAATTCTAAATCTAGGTTTCTTTGGTTCTGGAAAAACATTATGGTTCATTTAAAGTAAATGTATGAATGAGCATGTGATATTTACATTATAGCTTAGGTTTTAATTTGTATGGACGTGGTTATGCAAATATGACCCGAACTATAATTTAAATCTTCTTATATACAAATTAAGTAAACAATAACACTGTTAACTTTTACTTGAATTAAAAAATATTGTTTATATACTCATGAATATTTATCATTGTAATTTATATATATATTCATCATAAAATAGTGTTCCAATTCATATAAGTTGTTATGTTTTTTTTATAGTTAATTTACATAATTGTTTAATTGTAGTAAATGATTCAAAAAGTTATGCTTTTAAACGACCTTTTCGTTGTAGCCCAGTTACAGTAGGAGACACTGCCTTCCCGGCCAATAAAAGATAGTCATAGAATTTTAAATGTAAGACCATTGTAATGAAGCCATTAGTTGGTTCAAGTATAAAGATTTATTTACCTGAAAATTGTCTTAAAGAATTAAAATCGGATCATGTTTGTATAATAACGTCCAACTTTTTCAATATAAAGGTTGGTGCATATATGATGAAAGATGCGTCTTATCTGTCGCGAAACGTCAGAACTAACAAATATATGATATGTCAACCTTGAACACTCGACGGATAATCCGTCGCGTACTATATGTTAGTACGAGACGTATCCTTCCATGAGACGCTTGACGAATCTTTAGTCAGATTTGCACCAATACTAATTAAATCCCTGAAATACCAATTTGAATGCTTATTCAACTTAGTGAAATTGTATATATTCGATTAATCATTTATTTGAAATTTTACATTTAAGGGTTCCGTACCTTAAAAGGAAATAATGGAACCCTTCACTTAGTTCACCGTTCATCTGCCTACTATAAAAATAATTTTAAAAAAACTTTATTTTCTCCACAATATTACTTATACAAAAAGGTATTATTATTACATATAATATATTAGGACTGGTTTATTAAAAAAAATTAATAGTTTCATCTTCAAAATATGAAATTTCTGGTGTTTATTTTTTCATATGCGATTTTTGTCGAATATCTACAATAACACTAAATTAATAACCATATACAGATTTCCAATTTCACAAGTTAGGTATTAATACACAAAGTTAGAGACATTGATCACCCAAGTTAATTTTAATATTTTTTACATAACTGTATATCACATAAATATACAAACTATCAAAAATCTCCTTTTTATTTTATATTAAATATATATATTTTTTTATTCAATTAATTACATCTTAAATAAGCATAGGGCGAAACGATCGTAGAATAATTACTTTTGAGTAGCCTTGGCAGGGTTAAAATACTGTAAGACACTTTCAGGGCATTTGAATTTAGAAGAATTCATTTCTTAGATTTTGGAGTAGGAACTATAATATTTATGCGTACTATATATCGCACTCCCGGTGCGACACTGTCACTTATGCAAAAATTTAGTTTTTCAGTAGAAGAGTTTTAAACTCTGTAACCTCACAAAACAATGACTTTAGAAGATACAGATGAGATGAATCATACTGAACATAGTTCCGTATGATTCATCTACAAAAGTAACATTATCGCACCAAGTAAAGGGGGCTTTAGGACAATTATTCAAATTTAACTAATCTTTGTATTTTTTGCAAAAGTGACAGTGTCGCACCGGGGGTGCGATATATTTCTTTAACCTTATATAGTATGCAGGCCCAAAATTTAGCACAATACTATATATTATAGTACAGTTGGCAACCCTAACTGTATGTCGCGGGAACGATACAGTGTTCTAGGGATAGCAATAAGTATCGTTTACGTACAAAAGCCATATAATACTTTGTGTCATTGTCTTTTTTTTCGCCTGCCAAAGGATATATGCCGTATACATATAATATGTGTACATATTTTTTTAAGTAAACTTTTTAATCAAGCTAAAGAAATATTTTAATTACTATTTCCATATATTAAGGACGCAAAATAAATAATAGACCAATAAATAAATAAATTCAGTTCAGTACAGTGAGCTTCCCGTAAGCTCAAAACACAATCAATTTGGAAAATTAAAAGCGGTAAATGTACTCTTATTATATTTTGTGAATTTATAAAAATGAATTATTAATTATTTTTTATTAATAATTATGATTAAATCTTACGGAATCGTGATTGGCTTTCAGTGGCGCTGGAACATATCACCAACGCGAACAGCGCCATCATTGCGCACAAGCGCGCCATCTGTAACAAAAGAATACAAACATATATTTTTGTCGTCTTTTACTTTCGTGTCATGTACATTCGTACAGGTTACCACAATGTATCCGATTTAGGCATTATATTAATGTTTAAAATCTATAAAAATCTGCCGCCCAGTTGCACAAACGGTCTTTAAGGTTTGATTACGAGTTTAACTAATCCATGTTCCTTTGAAAAATTGTATTGCTAATGTCGCTTTAAACCATGCTTTAAACGTTTGATGCATCTAGTCGTATTATTATTAAAATTTTATGTTGTGCGGTAATCGTTGCACTCTTGACCGCTTTTAATTTTTACATATTTGCTTGTGAAATGAAATGAAAATATATTTTTTCAAGTAAGCTTTTTACAAGCACTTTTGAATCGTCCAAGAAAAAATTTTTTCCCCTACAACTTGTTCAGGACGTCTTTAGCTGACAAGAAGAACAAACAAAAGAAACTTACCAGCTCTTTATCATAAGCAATGACATTTACAAAATCATGTCATTACCAAAATTATATGTATTATCACAATAATAAATACAACTTTCAAAGTCTGTAGGTCATAGGTTGTACATATAATTAGTCGTTGTAGAAC